TACAATTATCGGTGTTTACATATACTCAATTGTGTTACTGTAATTGTGTTATTGTTTACAAGTTAATCTTACCTCTTGGTTATCTTGTAGAGGTTCCTGGGATCAGCAACCCTGCCGGTCCGGTCTCTGACCTGGTTTCTTGGTTCAATTTGTAATACAATTCTAAACCCCATCACCAACAACAATAGTCTCATATTTCATGACTGTCAGGATGAGCTATTACGGGCTATTCATGCCCGTGCCACCTCTTGGGTGGCATAATCTTCATCAATCAATCAATCGGCAGAGATACAAATTTAAAGTGAGATGGCTTTAATCTGCAAGATGTTATGGCGACGCTGGTTCGAATCCCGCTGGATACTGGTAAGTGTTTTTTACATTTTATCAGAGTCGAGAGAAACGAATATTTACAGTCGCCATAGTGTAAATACTGACATGTAAATTAGTCGCACCTGTCCGTAACTGACAGGTAAATTACTCACACCTGAAAGTAACAGATAAACCTGTCCACAACTGACAGATACATACGACAGCGACACACACCTGTCTAAAACGGAGGTATTGTTATTTTGACAAAGACAGAAAAATGTCCAGGAGGCCAATTCTCTCCCCAACCTTTCATTTTTCTGCTTTACGACGGGGGGAAACAAATGGTTTATTTTTTCCCTACACCAGCAACGACCTCAGTATATTTGGCCATTTTTACCTGAAAGTGAAATAGTGACATACCATATTCTTCCAGGGAGGGGGGAAAACAGGGATATATTCTCTCGTTCTGTCTCTCATTCTCTCTATCTCTCGTTCTCTATCTATTACTCTGCTTCTGTGTTTTTCTCCGTTTATCTATTTAGTTAGAATTTTTCAAGCTATTATTATTTTCATTAAATTTTCACTTATTTAGTGTATCTCAAAATGACCGTTGTTCTTAAGTAAAATATAATGTATAATTATTATTATCTGTTATAGGTTATTGATTATTATATTTCTTGTATAAATCATGTAAATTATGTAAACTGTGTTAAAATATTCAATGATTTATAAGTAAAGCTGTTAAGTAAAGCTTTAAAGTAAGCTGAGGTGTCTTTGCGTTTGGGTGTTACTGAGCAGGATTTCGCTATAGTCATCTTCAAGATATGAGGAAGATATCCACGGGTTTAAGATCCTAGGGCCAGATTCACGAAGCAGTTTCGCAAGTTCTTACGAACCTGTACATCTTTTCTCAATCTTTGACGGCTTTGGTTACATTTATTAAACAGTTTACAAGCATGAAAACTTGCCAATCAACTGTTGTTGTTGTTATAAACAGCCTCCTGGTGCTTCGGAGCTCATTGTTTAATAATTGTAAACAAAGCCGCCAAAGATTAAGAAAAGATGTACATGTTCGTAAGTGCTTGCGTAACTGAATCGTGAATCTGACCCCAAGTATTAGCAAACGACAGTAAGGTCTCTTAAGGGTTATAGGTCCCTAAAGACCACACTATTGGATTCTAAAGCAGTTTAAAACATAGTGCACAGCTGCATTGGGCAGCTGTTCTGACTGGGCAGTCAGAACACCTGCTCAGATGTTTAGAGTTAGGGTAAATGGGGGGGGGGGGGGGGTTGAAACGTTATAGGGTATTACAAAACCCAGAGCCAGGAATTACCAAGTATTTACGAAACCACTTCATCTTTGTTGGCATTCATTAAACAGTTTAGTGGCTAGAAAACTTCCTTGTCCAAGCTTTGACAAACATCTTCAAAGGATACCTGATCAACCAGGCTGTGACTCATACGTCAGGCTTGGAGCAGCCGCGTCCAACAGCCTGGTTGACCAGTCCAGCAACGAGGAGGCCTGGTCGACGACGACCGGGCCGCGGGGTGGTTGAGCCCCGGAATCACCTCAAGGTAAGGTTATGATTCTTATCAACCTTGTTGTGCTTTGGAGGTTATAAATTGTTATGAATAAAAAGTCAACAAAGGTGTAATGGATGTTTAAAGATGCACAGGTTTCGTAAGTAGTTGAGTAAATGCGTAATGAACCCCGAACCAGTTTCCGATTTCGGCATTCAACCCTCCCCAAAAAAGTTAGGAACTGTACAAGAGAGATGCAGCAAAAGTTCGTGAAATTACCTAATAATTTATCACAATTTGTGTCCATGAAACAATGTATATAATTATAATTTTATAATATATATATATATATATATATATATATATATATATATATATATATATATATATATATATATATATATATATATATATATATATGCGAACAAGCCTGAATGGTCCCCAGGACAATATGCAACAGGACAATATGTTATATATATATATATATATATATATATATATATATATATATATATATATATATATATATATATATATATATATATATATATATAATTACTGTCCTCTCAGGGGCCGTGAAAGTTTATACGGACGAGACGTTGTTTTTGTTTTAGATTCAGCTACTCAGAACGATAAGTTCCAGTAGCACGGGCTATGGTGAGCCCGTAACACGGACGCGACGCTCCATCGTCATAATATAGTCGTGCGACTAAATTATTCAAAGCTGTCAATTGCTATGCATAGGACCTATAATCAGGTGTCCCAGGACTTCTACTCGACCGCCTGTCCTAATCTGGAGTGGCTGCTTGAACCTTTGCATTAAGTTCTTGCCTTAGGTGGTCTCAGATCCAATGATTTCTCTTCTTCTTGAGGTTATCTTGAGATGATTTCGGGGCTTTTTAGTGTCCCCGCGGCCCGGTCCTCGACCAGGCCTCCACCCCCAGGCAGCAGCCCGTGACAGCTGACTAACACCCAGGTACCTATTTTACTGCTAGGTAACAGGGGCATAGGGTGAAAAAAACTCTGCCCATTGTTTCTCGCCGGCGCCTGGGATCGAACCCAGGACCACAGGATCATAAGTCCAGCGTGCTGTCCGCTCGGCCGACCGGCTCCTCTTGACCACAAACTCAACAAATCTACTTCAACTCTATGTGGATCGAGTCTAACTTCACAAATTAATAATCCCAATCGTTTCGTCGCAGATTTAGGTCAAACTGGTTGTAAATCAAGCGTCAACTAGCTATTTATAATACTAATAATATGGCTATTAATATTCTCATTAACATCAGCCTTAATATCAGCTATTATGCATGCAGGAATATTACTGTTATTATTAATGCTAAATGCTAATTGTATGATTTAATATTAATATAAAATTATGGTTGATTGCTATAATAAGAAGATTACTTACTACCCAAGCTGATGACTTGTCCAGAGTCAAGTATTAAGTCATTAGGATAATACAGAGAAAATGATTGGAATAATTAGAGTACTGAGATGAATGAGAAGTCGATAAAGCAGGTGGAAGATAACATGATAAAACAGGGGAAGAGATAAAACAAGGGAAGTGTAGTCTCTTGAAAATAGTTGTAAGTGATTATATGTAGAGTAGATAAAGGTGGAAATCATGGACGCCAGCGTGGCAAACTCGCCCTACACTGAGGCACAACTGGTCTGAATACAATTAGAATTTATATTACAGAATCGACAAATTGTGTAAAAAAAAAATGAGACAAATTAGTAAAAAAAATTATGCGCCATGATATTGATTTTTTTTTATGCATTGGCCTCGATAAGTTAGGTGGGTTGATTGGGTTCATACGTTCCTGGTAAAGCGAAACAGTTGCATCTTTTTTATATAGAGAATTGAAAGAACGAGCTGGATTGGAAGAGGTAGAAATTGAGTGATGTTTGAAAATATGAGAGTTTTTTTCATGTATTTCAGCGAGTTAATGTATTTCATTATGTATTTCAACGAAATCATGTATTTCATACGGTATCTGAGGGGTATGTTCCATATACCTTGATGCTCTGAGATATTCATGATAGAATGATCGTGGAGTGATCGTAGAATGATTGCATAGTGATCGTAGAATGATTGCATATTGATCGTAGAATGATTGCATAGTGATCGTAGAATGATTGCATAGTTGACCACACCACACACTAGAAGGTGAAGGGACGACGACGTTTCGGTCCGTCCTGAACCATTCTTAAGTCGATTGTGAGAATGATCGACTTGAGAATGGTCCAGGACGGAGCGAAACGTCGTCGTCCCTTCACCTTCTAGTGTGTGGTCTGGTCAACATACTTTAGCCACGTTATTGTGACTCCTCGCCTGCACAAGGTAGAGAACATACTATCTCAAGCGAGACAGAAGAGAACATACTTTCTCGAGACAGAGAGAGAACTTAATAAAAGTACAAATCATCAGAGACAAGAGCTTGGAGATACTGATCAGGTAATCACCGAAGGTCCAATTGGCGGGTTATGGAAACAATAGGAGACCTGATACACAGAGTTAAAGTCACTGATAACGACACAAGCTATTAGCGAGTAGGGGATCACTTTTTCCTGTGTGGCAAAGGGGAGGCCAGAGGATAGGGGAAATATGAGTGTATTTGCTTCAATGTGTGTATGTACTTATGGCCAGTAAATGTGACGTATGTTGACCAGACCACACACTACACATTGAAGAGACGACGACGTTTCGGTCCGGCCTGGACAATCTTGTTATCTTGAGATTATCTTGAGATGATTTCGGGGCTTTAGTGTCCCCGCGGCCCGGTCCTCGACCAGGCCTCCACGCCGAGGAAGCAGCCCGTGACAGCTGACTAACACCCAGGTACCTATTTTACTGCTAGGTAACAGGTGTATAGGGTGAAAGAAACTCTACCCATTGTTTCTCGCCGGCGCCCGGGATCGAACCTGGGACCACAGGATCACAAGTCCAACGTGCTGTCCGCTCGGCCGATCGGCTCCCTTTTTTCAGGAGTCGTTCAAGTCGATTCTCAAGTCAACCATTCTCAAGTCGACTGCGATTTTATTTTCTAGTGAGTGGTTTGGTCAATATTTTTCAGCCACGTTATTGTGACTATTTATCTGCCAATGACTCTAGCACTGGAAGGGGCTCCGGAAAAGGTTTCTCGCTTGATTAGGTCTCTGGCATCATGAACTCTCAGCCTACAAGGCTCTGGGATACCGTTGCAGGATGCTGCAGAGAGGCTGTGAAATTGCAGTGCGAGATTATTAAGGTAATGATCAATTGCAACTATACAGGAATTGGAAAGGGCATGAGGACTGGTGAAGAAACGATCACCAACCACTTGGAGCATCGGGGATTGAACGCCGATCGTGTACGATGCAAGGCCATCACACTAACAATCAATCCAAGTGGTTGGGTGGTGAATGTATTAATTAATAAAAAAGACATTAATTCATTCGGCTCCAGCTCCCAAGCCCCAGTACACGTGAGTGCTCCAGCTCCCAAGCCCCCGTACAGAGAGTGCTCCAGCTCCCAAGCCCCCGTACAGAGAGTGCTCCAGCTCCCAAGCCCCCGTACAGAGAGTGCTCCAGCTCCCAAGCCCCCGTACAGAGAGTGCTCCAGCTCCCAAGCCCCCGTACAGAGAGTGCTCCAGCTCCCAAGCCCCCGTACAGAGAGTGCTCCAGCTCCCAAGCCCCCGTACAGAGAGTGCTCCAGCTCCCAAGCCCCCGTACAGAGAGTGCTCCAGCTCCCAAGCCCCCGTACAGAGAGTGCTCCAGCTCCCAAGCCCCCGTACAGAGAGTGCTCCAGCTCCCAAGCCCCCGTACAGAGAGTGCTCCAGCTCCCAAGCCCCCGTACAGAGAGTGCTCCAGCTCCCAAGCCCCCGTACAGAGAGTGCTCCAGCTCCCAAGCCCCCGTACAGAGAGTGCTCCAGCTCCCAAGCCCCCGTACAGAGAGTGCTCCAGCTCCCAAGCCCCCGTACAGAGAGTGCTCCAGCTCCCAAGCCCCCGTACAGAGAGTGCTCCAGCTCCCAAGCCCCCGTACAGAGAGTGCTCCAGCTCCCAAGCCCCCGTACAGACAGTGCTCCAGCTCCCAAGCCCCCGTACAGAGAGTGCTCCAGCTCCCAAGCCCCCGTACAGAGAGTGCTCCAGCTCCCAAGCCCCCGTACAGAGAGTGCTCCAGCTCCCAAGCCCCCGTACAGACAGTGCTCCAGCTCCCAAGCCCCCGTACAGAGAGTGCTCCAGCTCCCAAGCCCCCGTACAGAGAGTGCTCCAGCTCCCAAGCCCCCGTACAGAGAGTGCTCCAGCTCCCAAGCCCCCGTACAGACAGTGCTCCAGCTCCCAAGCCCCCGTACAGAGAGTGCTCCAGCTCCCAAGCCCCCGTACAGAGAGTGCTCCAGCTCCCAAGCCCCAGTACACGTGAGTGCTCCAGCTCCCAAGCCCCCGTACACGTGAGTGCTCCAGCTCCCAAGCCCCAGTACACGTGAGTGCTCAGTCTCTGTTACAGCCCCACCATTTAATGGCAGCCTTCGTTACCGTAAGCTTTTGTGCGTTCCGAATAAATGACAAATTGGATTGTAAACAAAAGTGAAGGTCTTGTCTTTATCACAACCCCCTCCTCTATCTCCCCTTTTACCCCCCCCCCTGTTACCAAAGGAACTTTTCTTTGCATACCTGTTTGCATAGAATTGGCAAGGCCGCCTGAAAATGACCGTGACTCTTCAAAAAGAACTGGACAAATTGAGAGCTTGATAACGCTTTCCTTTGAAGTTGAAAACGTTGGCTTTTGATGGGCATAGATTACAAAAAAAAAAAGATATCTGAAACCTGGGGATATTTTGTCGCGGATACTGACGGTGGAGATATGTGTGTGGGAAGGATTTTAGGTGTAGAAAAAAAGGTGTATTGTAAAAAGATTTTCACATATCAGAGTCCAGCCTTCAGGAAAGGACACGATAATATAATACGTAAATATTATGAACTGTTGTACACTAAATAATTCCACGTGTTATTACACTGGAATTATTATTATCTGGAGCCGGTCGGCCGAGCGGACAGCACGCGGGACTTGTGATCCTGTGGTCCTGGGTTCGATCCCAGGCGCCGGCGAGAAACAATGGGCAGAGTTTCTCTCATCCTATGCCCCTGTTACCTAGCAGTAAAATAGGTACCTGGGTGTTAGTCAGCTGTCACGGGCTGCTTCCTGGGGGTGGAGGCCTGGTCGAGGACCGGGCCGCGGGGACACTAAAAGCCCCGAAATCATCTCAAGATAACCTCAAGATAACTGGTCTACTGAAGGACGGAACCACGGTTGTAACAACTTAATCAGCAACTCTACTTATTCTCTATTAGACCTAAATAAGCATAATCCTTCATCTAATACACACAATCTTTAGTTTAACCAATCTTCAGGTAATTAATTCACAGCTTTACGATACGTAATTAACTCATTACTTTACGATACGTAACTAATTCAGCAATTTAATGCACTAATTCCTGTTGCCTGGAATAGGAATCCCAGGACCTGGGATAGGAATCCCAGCACCTAGGATAGCAATCCCAGCACCTAGGATAGCAATCTCAGCACCTAGGATAGGAATCCCAGCACCTAGGATAGGAATCCCAGCACCTAGGATAGCAATCCCAGCACCTAGGATAGCAATCCCAGCACCTAGGATAGGAATCCCAGCAGCTAGGATAGCAATCCCAGGAATGCTCTTCCCGTAGGTCATCTATACCAACCACACAGCAGATTACAACCAACAAGAACTGCCTAACTCCTCCTATGTTTACTGCTCGGTGAACAGAGGCATTAGGCGAAAGTAAACGGACCCCCACCGATTATATGCTGCCCCGGGGATTGAACGAGGGTCTCTCGATTGCAAGTAGAGAGGGTAAACCATTGTGCTACAGGACCCATATATGACCTTATAAGACCTCTATATATGTTTAATTGGTCAATGTTCTTCCTCAAATATAGCAATCGAAGCTGTGACTAGAATTCTAGAATTGAACAACAAATTGTATTGAGTGAAGGTGAGTTTCTCAAACTCAAAATTGTAAATGTTAGCCAAGTTCAAAATGAACTTAAACTCTGTTACTCTGAAGGCTTGGACTGTCTATTTCTCTCGATCAATGGACCTGTACATCGCTTATTTCACTCACCCGAAGGCTTTCATGATCTACAAAACACTTTAAGTCGGTCAGAACTGAGAAAATCAGTAGGATCCGTGATGTAGATTCGAACCCATGCGCTGGGATACTCCCAATCACAGGCTGGGTCTACATTCCATATTTTACACTCTCAATAGCCTATCTTGGTTATCTTGAGGTTATCTTGAGATGATTTCGGGGCTTTCAGTGTCCCCGCGGCCCGGTCCTCGACCAGGCCTCCACCCCCAGGAAGCAGCCCGTGACAGTTGACTAACACCCAGGTACCTATTTTACTGCTAGGTAACAGGGGCATAGGGTGGAAGAAACTCTGCCCATTGTTTCTCGCCGGCGCCTGGGATCGAACCCAGGACCACAGGATCACAAGTCCAGCGTGCTGTCCGCTCGGCCGACCGGCTCCCTTAAATATGTATATTTCACACTACCTATATGGACACCAGTCAACAGTTAACTCCAGTATTTCTCATTTCACCTTCATCAACATTCAATTATTTTGCAGGTATATGATATTTATTTTAGCGTTCATATATTTGGTAACCTTTGAAACGTCCAGGTATATCTATAGCTATATATGTATAGTATATATGTGACGTACATGATTTTTCCAGATATTTCAAAGGCATCTGTTTGCCTAACAATTTTAGTTTATGGCAGTTTGAGTTTTATATATATATATATATATATATATATATATATATATATATATATATATATATATATATATATATATATATATATATATATATATATATGCGGAAAATCCACAGAGAAATATGAAAGGAGGTGAACGTTTCGGCTTTGTTAAAGCCTTTGTCAACACCAGACTGACAAATATATATATATATATATATATATATATATATATATATATATATATATATATATATATATATATATATATATATATATATATATGAATTCCGTGAGCACAGAATATTTTTTATGAAGAAATCTCTAATATTTGATGATGAACACACAACCGACTCATCTCGCTGCCTTCCAAAATCATCATCAGATGTGTTGCATCGAAGGTGAAGACTGTGTATATAGTGAGCACAGGTGGTGGTGGCCCAGTTTGTTTTTTTTCAGTTTGGTGGTGGTTTTACGGGTTATTCATGCCCGTGCCACCTCTTGGGTGGCTTAATCTTTATCAATCAATCAATCGGGTGGCCCAGGCTTTTGTGGCCAGGTTATATGTTCCTCCGTCGCTTCAATTCCATTCCACCTGACCTCAATTCCGTTCCACGTAACCTGAGCTCCGTTCCGTGGCTTCCATGTCGTTCCACGTGGCTCCAGTTCCTTTCCAAGTGGCCTGAATTACGTTCCTCGTGACTTCAATTCCCTCCACCCACGGTCTCCATTAGTCGTTCCTTCGTGGCTTCCTTCATTTCACCTTGTAAAGAACGACCCCAAACGGGGTCAGGCAGCCCACTCTTGTCTGTTATCACTCTAGGAATACACCCAGTTGCTGTGAGGACTGTGGCGCGGAGATGAGAGAGACTCTTACCCATCAGGGTCGCATTTCTCACCTGAAATTTTGAGAAATTTTTGGAGCAGTGTGATATCCAGGGATGGAGACGGGTTATCTGTAGTGGGGTATGGCCTTCAACCCTTACCATCATGATGCTCTCTCTCTCTCTCTCTCTCTCTCTCTCTCTCTCAAAAGGGTCTCTGGTCTAGATGGTGAAGCCTCACTTTGTTGCACCGGGGGAGACCCAAAGAGACGAGCTTTGGTTAAGGTTTTCACTATGTATTCTATGGTGATATGTATCCCTTGAGTGTCGGCCGGGTGTTTACCTTGGTCGCCATCTTAAGATGGGAACTTATTTTGGCGAGTTGCTTCATGTGATGCTAAAAACTCGTCTTTATATATTTTTTTTAGAAGATGGACGAAGCAATTCTTCTGGGATCATCAATAGACTCAAATCTGTTCCAGGAAATGGGTTAGATTGGCATGATGTAGAACTCTTAAACGAGGCGGAGAATGATGCCTGGGAATGTGAAAGAAGACATCTGGGAAGGAGGAGAAGCTGCCGTTTGAGTCGATGTCATGGATTTCATCTCAACTGTTCCGTTCAAGACTGTCAGTATTATTGCAATTATTCTTAACTGCGTCGAAAAAATCCCTGTAAGACATTGTTGACAAAGACAATGTTCGTCTTACCTGTGTGATGTTAAGGTGTTTAAATTAGGCAATATTGTTGTTTTAGAGTCCTATATTTTCTACCTAAGACCTACCTAAGGTTCTAATTTTAGGGGCCTATATGTTCTGCCTAAGGCAAGGTAACAGTCGACTTGAGAATGGTCCAGGACGGACCGAAACGTCGTCGTCCCTTCACTTTTTAGTGTGCGGTTTGGTCAACATGTTCTATAATTATTATATTTACGTCGCCAATATAAAATCTTAACAAAATTGCATTGGAAATATTTACTGACTGGCAGATACTACCTAAAGCAAGGTAAGAAAAATTTAGCATTTGAAATTTGCAGCAGAAAAAGACGGAACTAGGTTCAAAAGGCTGATAAAGTTATATTTTACAGAAACACACACACACACACACACACACACACACACACACACACACACACACACACACACACACACACACACACACAATTAAAGCCGACTGTCTTTATGTCGGTTCTGTAAATCAGAAAAACAGAAGCATTCAGCTGCTTACACTTCAGGAGCAACAGAAGACAATCATTAGCCAAAGACCTATACCAAAGACCTCAACCAGGACCTTCAACCATCGACCATTACCACCCCCCCCCCAATACCCAACCCCTTCTCAGTCGACCTTGCTGACCAGGTCGTTAATGTGCCTCTAAGTCATTGTCTCAACGGACTCCCTCCCACCGGGTTGAGTCGTCCCCCAACCCGCCACTCGAAGCGGGTTGAGTCGTCCCCCAACCCGCCACTCGAAGCGCCAGTCATTTTTACTCCGGTAGGTCTTCAATCACGAGCTAGTTCGCAGTTAACTCCCTAGGGCGCCACGATCGTTCTTCTGTGGTACACTGGCTCGTCAGGCTCCTCCGCCTATCATTACACCAAACATACAGCGAAATCGCTACTTTTTAATCGTTATATGGTGTTAGAACGTAAAAATAACTGTGTGACTGTTGGGATATGATCTTACTTATGGGGGATGTATGGAGTAATTACCTAAGTGTAATTACCTATGGGTAGTTACAGGATGAGAGCTACGCTCGTGGTGTCCCGTCTTCCCAGCACTCTTTGTCATATAACAATTAAATATTGTGTGGGAACGGTTGTAAGTCCACGAGCATTGTGGTAACACTGGAATCGTCTGCA